TGAGTGACTTTTTTTTAGGGCTGTCACGCGATTAAAAAAATTAATCGTGTGATTAATCGCGCTGTTAAACAATAATAGAATACCATTTATTTAAATATTTTTTGATATTTTCTACATTTTCAAATATATTGATTTCAATTACAACACAGAATACAAAGTGTACAGTGCTCACTTTATATTTATTTTTGATTACAAATATTTGTACTGTAAAAAACAAAAGAAATAGTATTTTTCAATTCACCTAATACAAGTACTGTAGTGCAATCTCTTTATCATGAAAGTTGAACTTACAAATGTAGAAATACATACAAAAAAAAACTGCATTCAAAAGTAAAACAATGTACAACTTTAGAGCCTACAAGTCCATTCAGTCCTACTTCAGCCAATCGCTCAGACAAACAAGTTTGGTTACAATTTGCAGGAGATGCTGCTGCCTGCTATTTGCTTACAATGTCACCTGAAAGTGAGAACAGGCGTTCGCATGGCACTATTGTAGCTGGCATCACAAGATATTTATGTGCCAGATGTGCTAACGATTCATATGTCCCTTCATGCTTCAACCACCGTTCCAGAAGACATGCGTCCATGCTGATGATGGGGGTCTTCTCGATAACGATCTAAAGCAGAGCGGACTGCATGTTCATTTTCATTATGTGAATCAGATGCCACCAGCAGAAGGCTAATTTTCTTTTTTGGTGGTTCGGGTTCTGTAGTTTCCACATCAGAGTGTTGCTCTTTTAAGACTTCTGAAAGCATGCTCCACACCTCATCCCACTCAGATTTTGGATGGCACTTCAGGTTCTTAAACCTTGGGTTGAGTGCTATAGCTATTTTTAGAAATTTCACATTGGTACCTTCTTTGCGTTTTGTCAAATCTGCAGTGACAGTGTTCTTAAAATGGACATGTGCTGGGTCATCATCCAAGACTGCAATAACATGAAATATATGGCAGAATGCAGGAAAAACAGAACAGGAGACATGCAATTCTCCCCCAAGGAGTTCAGTCACAAATTTAATTAATACTTTTTTTTTTACGAGCATCATCTGCATGGAAACGTCCTCTGGAATGGTGGTAGAATCATGAAGGGGCATACAAATGTTTAGCATATCTGGTATGTAAATACCTTGCAACGCCAGCTACAAAAGTGCCATGCAACCTCCTATTTTCACTGTTGGGTGACGTAAATAAGAAGCAGGCAGTCTTATCTCCCATAAATGTAAACAAACTTATTTGTCTTAGCGATTGGCTGAACAAGAAGTAGGACTGAGTGGACTTGTAGGCTCTAAAGTTATACATTGTTTTGTTTTTGAGTGCAGTTATGTAAAAAAAAAAATCTACATTTGTAAGTTGCACTTTCATGATAGAAATTGCACTACAGTACTTGAGGTGAATTGAAAAATACTATTGGTTTATCATTTTTACAGTGCAAATATACCAAAATATCCAAAAATATTTAATAAATTTCAAAATGTCAATTGGTATTCTGTTGTTTAACACTGCGATTAATCGTGATTGATTTTTTTAATTGTGATTAAAGTTTGAGTTAAACGCGTGAGTTAACTGCAATTAATCGACAGACCTACTTTTTTTTTACTATTTTCTTTAAGCATAAGAGTTTTAACATAAGAGGTTGTGAATCTCCATCATCTGCAGTGTCTATAGCTTCAGTGTCATCTGCAGGTACAGTAGAACCTCAAAGTTACGAACACCAGAGTTACAAAATAACCAGTCAACCACATAGCTCATTTGGAACCGGAAGTACACAACCGAGGGGAGGGATAGCTCAGTGGTTTGAGCCTTGACCTGCTAAACCCAGGGTTGTAAGTTCAATCCTTGAGGGGGCCATTTAAGGATGTGGGGCAAAAATCTGTCTGGGGATTGGCCCTGCTTTGAGCAGGGGGTTGGGCTAGATGACCTCCTGAGGTCCCTTCCAACCCTGGTATTCTATGATTCTATGAACCGGGTAGTAGCAGAGACCAAAGGGGAAAAAAAAGCAACTACAGTACAGTATTGTTAAACATAAACTACTAAAAAAATAAAGGGAAAGCAGCATTTTTCTTCTGTATAGTAAAATTTCAAAGCTATATTAAATCAATGTTCAGTTGTAAACTTTTGAAAGAACAACCATAATGTATTGTTCAGAGTTACGAACATGTCAGAGTTGCAAATGTTCCCGAGATGTTCGTAACTCTGAGGTTCTACTATACCACCAGCAGTGCTGCAACTAAACATATGTCAGACAATAAATGACCTGTGTTTGTGTTTAAAAACCAAAAAGCTTCATCATCCAGTAAAACCACCGATCATAATCAGGACCAGCAAATTCCAGCAAACCTCCATAGATGAAAAGATTGTTCAGTTTGTTTATGCAACAGATTCTTCCTTTTGTCTTGTTCAGAACAAACAATTCAGTGACATAGTTCAGTCATTATGACCAAGCTACTCTCCACGTAGCAAACCAGACATTGCTAGAAAGTTGCTGGATATGTGTATGAGAAGGAAATTGAACAGTGTGCAAAAAATACTGATGGGAAATTTGTTAATCTGCTCCATCGATCAAGACTCAGTGTACACAATGACCTAGTATTATGTGCTTGTGACACAACAGAAGATGGGGTTGTTTATCTCTCAGAAACAATTGATACATCAGGAAAGGCCTATATAGAAGAATATTTAAAACTGTGAACTAAAATTCAAGTGTCAAGTGTGCAGTTTTCTCACAGATAATGCTGCAAATGTAGCAAAGATGAGAAGAAATCTAGAAAAAAAGAATGAAAGGAACCTGACACTTATAACCTACAGGTGCAGTGCTCATTTGATGCATCTTTTAGCCAAAGACTTAAGTATAACTTAACAATAAAGGACAATATTGCTGAAGTTATTTCTACAACAACCACTTTGTTTCATTTTCTCTGAAGAGAGCAGGAGGATCCAAATTAATTTTTCCCCGAGATGTGCGATGGAATTCAGTGTTTTGAGCTATTTATTAAGAGCAGGCCTATTCAGATGACAATTTGTGAACAAAACTGTGACAAAATTGATGGAACTATCACAAGCAAAGTAGATAACATGGGACTAAAGAGAAATGTAAAGGTACGCTGAATATACTGAAGCATATTTCCATAGTCTTGGACAAACTGCAGAAAAATTGCTGCTGAATTGCTGATGCTGCTGAAATTTGGAAAGAACTTAGAGACATGGAAGAAATACCCAACAACAAACTTAAATTGCAGGCAGTAAAGAAGCAGATTTTCTTGCACACACAAGCACATGCTGTCTCTTTCCCACACACTGGCAACAGGGACAGTCATGTCTAACGATTGCCTATGCTGCCAGGCTTCAAGGCCAAAACTGATTGGGCAAATGGGTTAAACAAAGTCATACACTCAGCTGCATCAGATTCTGATACTTGGTCCTTCACTTCAAGACATTAGCATGCCAGCTAAAGAGGCATCATGTGCTACTTTTGGGAGTATGTGTGACCTAACCTGTCATACATGTGTTTATTGGGGGGTGGGGGGAGAGAAGGGTAGTTTTTTGTTTTTGTTTTATTCTTGGATTGCACAGCTGTTATATATTTTTCAAAAAAAGTGCTAGTGAAATTTTAACTCTAAATTAATTGAAATGCCATGTAATGCTTGCCCCAGACCAGGGAACTTGCTTCCCCAAGACATAAGAATGATGATGGAACTCACCACTTACGGAACTAAAAGCAAAACTCATTTTTTTGAATCAGTTTTTCTAATAACTTTTTCACATACAGACACCTCACTGCCACTCTTACACATGAACATAAACAAGCAAATTAGACGAAGGTTTCTAACCATCAGAGGAGTGAATTTCTGGAACAGCTTTCCAAGGGGAGTAGTGGGGCCAAAAGACACATCTGGCTTCAAGACTAAGCTTGATAAGTTTATGGAGGGGATGGTATGATGGGATAGCCTAATTTTGGCAATTAATTGATCTTTGACTATTAGCAGGTAAATATGCCCAATGGTCTGTGATGGGATGTTAGATGGGGTGGGATCTGAGTTACTACAGAGAATTCTTTCCTGGGTGCTGGCTGGTGAGTCTTGCTCACATGCTCAGGGTTTAACTGATCACCATATTTGGGGTCGGGAAGGAATTTTCCTCCAGGGCAGATTGGCAGAGGCCCTGGAGGTTTTTCACCTTCCTCTGCAGCATGGGGCACAGGTCACTTGCTGGAGAATTCTCTGCACCTTGAGGTCTTTAAACCACAATTTGAGGACTTCAGTAACTCAGGCATAGGTTAGAGATTTGTTACAGGAATGGGTGGGTGAGATTCTGTGGCCTACGTTGTGCAGGAGGTCAGACTAGATGATCATAATGGTCCCTTCTGACCTTAAAGTTTATGAGTCTATGAGTAAACAAAACCTACCAACTAATCAAGCTGTTTCTCCTACTTGGCTGGGAAAGAAGTAGGAGGGGAAGAGAAACTATTATTTTCTATTTTTGAATACTTATGAGATGTTGATATACTCCACTGATGAAGGGTTATATGAGATACTAAAGATACCTCAACAAATGGTGTTGAATTTTGAGAAACTTAACGTATGGTCTGCTAGTATGTGATGTGGTTTTAGGAATATATTTTTTTTTCATTCCATTTAAAATCCATCCTTAACTGTCAAGATAATGCAGACTGTTTTATTTTAAGACTGCTTAGCTTCTTTTTTTGGTTGCTTTATTTAACTTGATATTAAGTCTTCACTATAAATCTAAAGTTTATTTTAATCCCTGAACATTGCTTAACACTTTCTAGCTGCCCCATTACTTTTGTAATGCAACAGCGCTGCATAATTGTGATACTGATGCACAAGTGTATATATTTTTTGTTTTACTAAGGATTATGCTTCAGTGGCTTTATTACTTTTAATCTATTTTATCTAATATTTTGGCAATATTAATCATTTGTTAAGCACAAAACCCTTTTTGCCATACTTAGAAATTCACCTAAAATCTTTCATTTTCTTTTCAGGAGTGTGCATTGCTTGGAAGGATTAAAGGGGAAAAAATGTTTTCCTTGAAGGATGCTGTGATGGGTGCCTCCACTTTCTTTGCTTCAACTCTGCCACACGATGTCTGTGGAAGCAATGGTCTTCCTCTGACGCCAAACTCCATTAAAATTTTGGGCCGTTTTCAGATCCTTAAGACAATCACCCATCCCAGACTTTGTCAATATGTGGACATTTCTAGAGGAAAGCATGGTGAGTGTTTTCTTTCCTAGGAAATTGCGTTTTTATGCAAGAAGGTATTTTACAGTAATGATTTTGTTGATGCGTGAAGGTAGCTGTCCCAGTAAAATTTTTCCTTTGTTGCTTACATAGAGAAATTGTGCGAGTTTTGTTTTCAAGACAGCAGTGTGCCTCTACCTGGACTGACTCTGTAGCAGTCTTATTGCTCTGTCATTACACATAACAAAAGCAGATGTAAGAGATATAAGGTGGGTGAGGTAATATCTTTCACTGGACCAGCGTCTGTTGGTGAAAGAGACAAGTGTCACTCTTATTACCTTTCCCAGACCTGAAGAAGAGCTCTGTGTATCTCGAAAGATTCTCTTTCACCAACAGACGTTGGTCCAGTAAAAAGATATTATCTCACTCACCTTATCTCTTTACTGTAGCTATGTCAGTCCCAGAATATTAATGCTTCATAAAAGCAGATGTAGGTGGTTTGGCTGAAGGTCTCTGTAATCCAGTTATCCGCATAACACGGGGTGATAACTTTTAGGTATTTCCTTTTTTTCCCCAGCAAGTTCTCATCTCTCTTTTCTTTCCCTGTCTCTCTCTCTCCCCTCCATCAAAATTTTTTTTTCGTTGAAATCTGCAGATTTTTCCATTCACTTGCCTTGTGGGTTTCTGAAATTCATCAATTTGTCTCAATTTTTTTACATTTTAATTTCTTTAGCCTTTCTTTTAACCTTTAACCTTTGAAAGAAATATGTTCTACAGAAGGAGATCCCAGCAATTCCCTCCCAATCTCCTATTATGTCTTGAATCTTAAAAAGGAGTGTGAATTTTGTAAGGTAAATTGGCTTTAAAGTAGAAACTAGGGCTGTCAAGAGATTAAAAAAATTAATAGTGATTAGTCGCGCTGTTAAAAATAATAGAATACCATTTAAATATTTTTGACTTTTTTCTACATTTTCAAATATATTGATTTCAGTTACAACAGAGAACACAAAGTGTACAGTGCTCACATTATATTTATTTCTGATTAAAAATATTTGCACTGTAAAAAACAAAAGAAATAGTATTTTCAGTTCACCTAATACAAGTACTATAGTGCAATTTCTTTATCATGGAAGTTGAACTTACAAATGTAGAATTATGTACGAAAAAATAACTGCACTCAAAAACAAAACAATGTAAAACTTTAGAGCCTACATGTCCACTCAGTCCTATTTCTTGTTCAGCCAATCGCACAGACAAACAAGTTTGGTTATAATTTATAAGAGATAATGCTGCCTACTTCTTGTTTACAGTGTCACCTGAAAGTGAGAACAGGTGTTCGCATGGCACTATTGTAGCCAGTGTCGCAAGATATTTATATGCCACCTGCATTAAAGATTCATATGTCCCTTCATGCTTCAACCACCATTCCAGAGGACAAGCGTCCATGCTGATGACTGGTTCTGTTTGATAATGATCCAAAGCAGAGCGGACCAACGCATGTTCACTTTCATCATCTGAGTCAAATGCCACCAGCAGAAGGTTGATTTTCTTTTTTGGTGGTTCTGCATCTAAGTGTTGCTCTTTTAAAACTTCCAAAAGCATACACCTCGTCCTTCTCAGATTTTGGATGGCACTTCAGATTCTTAAACCTTGGGTCGAATGCTGTAGCTATTTTTAGAAATTTCACATTGGTACCTTCTTTGCGTTTTATCAAATCTGCTGTGAAAGTTTTCTTAAAAAGATCATGTGCTGGGTCATCATCCAAGACTGCTATAATATGAAATATATGGCAGAATGTGGGTAAAACAGAACAGGAGACATACAATTCTCCCCCAAGGAGTTCAGTCACAAATTTAATTAACACATTATTTTTTTTAATGAGCATCATCAGCATGGAAGCATGTCCTCTGCAATGGTGGCTGAAGCATGAAGGGGCATAGAAATGTTTAGCATGTCTGGCACGTAAATACCTTGCGACACCGGCTACAAAAGTGCCACGCAAACGCCTGTTCTCACTTTCAGGTGACATTGTAAATAAGAAGCAGGCAGCCTTATCTCCTGTAAATGTAAACAAACTTGTTTGTCTTAGCAATGGCCTGAACAAGGAGTAGGACTGTGTGGACTTATGAGCTCCAAAGTTTTACATTGTTTTGTTGAGTGCAGTTATGTAATAAAAAAAAAAAATTCTACCCTTGTAAGTTGCACTTTCACCATAAAGAGATTGTACTACAGTACTTGTATGAGGTGTATTGAAAAATACTATTTATTTTGACATTTTTACAGTGCCAATATTTGTAATAAAAAATAACACTATAAAGTGAGCAGTGTCTACTTTGTATACTGTGTTGTAATTGAAATAAATATATTTGAAAATGTAGAAAACATCCAAAACTATTTAAATAAATGGTATTCTATTATTGTTTAACAGTGTGATTAATCGTGTGATTAATTTTTTTAATCGTTTGACAGCCCTTTTAAAAACTATTAACTATCAAGGCAGAAACAATGGATGTATTATGCTTGTGCTGTCAGTGATAACTCTATTATAACTATTTAAGGTAATACTTCCAAATAAACTAACACTTTCCTACTAAAATATGGCAACTAGGCAGACACTAATTTTTATATAATATGCCTGGCAGGGGCAGAGCATTCCTCTCGTTAAAAATAGCAAGATCAATGTTCGGTGAATTTAGATATGTTCTTGGAAAGTATTTTTGTTTTTGAAAGTGTGTTTCATATTACAGAAAGCTATCAGAAAAGTATGTTGTAGTGAAAATTAAACATGGAGGCCTCTCTAATACAGGTAGTCTTCACTATTCACAAAAATGTTTCTTTAGTAACAATTGAAAAGGTGACGGTTTCTTGGTGTTTTGAATTTATCTGGTTTCAGAGTAGCAGTCATGTTAGACTGTATCTGCAAAAAGAACAGAAGTACTTGTGGCACCTTAGAGACTAACAAATTTATTTGAGCATAAGCTTTCGTGGGCTACAGCGCACTTCATCAGATGCATAGAATAGAACTTATAGTAAGAAGATATATATATACATACAGAGAACATGAAAAGGTGGAAGTTGCCATACCAACTCTAAGAGGCTAATTAATTAAGATGAGCTATTATCAGCAGGAGAAAAAAAACTTTTGTAGTGATAATCAAGATGGCCCATTTCAGACAGTTGACAAAAAGGTTAACATGGGGAAATAGATTCAATTTGTGTAATGACCCAGCCACTCCCAGTCTCTATTCAAGCCCAAATTTAATGGTATCAAATTAATACCAAATTAATGGTATCACCCACAACTATTTCACATTTGGGGACAACATATACCTTCAAGTCAACGGCACTGCTATGGGTACCCCGATGGCCCCACAGTATGCCAACATTTTTATGGCTGACTTAGAACAATGCTTCCATAGCTCTCGTTCTTTAACGCCCCTACTCTACTTGCGCTACATTGATGACATCTTCATCATCTGGACCCATGGAAAAGAAGCCCTTGAGGAATTCCACCATGATTTCAACAATTTCCATCCCACCGTCAACCTCAGCCTAGACCAATCCACACAAGCAGTCCATTTCCTGGACACTACTGTGCTAAACGATGGTCACATAAACATCACCCTATACCGGAAACCTACTGACTGCTATACTTACCTACATGCCTCCAGCTTCCATCCAGGACACACCACACGATCCATTGTCTACAGCCAAGCTCTAAGATACAACCGCATTTTCTCCAATCCCTCAGACAGAGACAAACACCTACAAGATCTCTATCAAACATTCTTAAAACTTCAGTATCCACCTGGGGAAGTGAAGAAACAGATTGACAGAACCAGAAGAGTACCCAGAAGTCACCTAGTACAGGACAGGCCCAACAAAGAAAATAACAGAACGCCACCAGCCGTCACCTTCAGCCCCCAACTAAAACCTCTCCAGCACGTCATCAGAGATCTACAGCCCATCCTGAAAGATTATCCCTCACTCTCACAGAACTTGGGAGACAGACCAGTCCTCGCTTACAGACAGCCCCCCAACCTGACACAAATACATTTTGAAGGATGTATAATGCGGCTATATTCAGTGTATGCCAAGATATTTACAGTTCTCTACAATAAGTAGGCATTCTCTTTGTCACTAGCTGATGAAATGTTGAGATAATGCTGTGTGTCCAGATTCTAAAATTGCTATTGGTATATTCTTTTAATCAGAGAGGCTGGTGGTGACTGCTGAACACTGTGAAAAGAGTCTGGAAGATTTGCTGCGAGAGAGGAAACCTGTGAGGTACAGTATCAGGGAAAACATAGGGAGAGAACACACTAACCAAAAGCTTTAGATACCTTATCATTTAAAGCGCAGACACAAATTTTCTTTAACAAAACAAACAAACAAACTACTTTTATGGATCCATATGAATTTAATACTTATATTGGCTAATATTTAACGCTTAAAGCACTGTCTTCCAGACTGCCAGACTTAACACTTGCTTAGGAGGCTTTGTGTATATTTCTTCAGACTCTAAAAGGTGAAGAATTTTAAAGAGAAATGTTTAAAATTAAGAAATACTTTTCTGCACACTAAACCTTGTTTTTATTTTAATAAGTGCTCTATTTTGGAATAGAGTGAAAGTTAAGAGAAGGGATTAGCATTTACATAAAAATCAAAATGTAAAAACAGTGTTTACAAAGATTTGGCAGTTGAGATTCACAATTCTGACACAAATGCAAAAATTTTCACAATACATTTCTACACAAGTAATACAAATGTAGGTGTATGCAAAAACTCACACAACACAGTTCTAATGTGAAGTTCTCCATCAAGTTTGGTCCTTACAGATACTACAGTAATGCATTCCATGGTCACTACTGTGACTCTTATTGCAACTTTAAAGTTGTAATTACTGTAAGGAAAGAAATATTATCGTTAGTGGTTTCAGAAGGGCATATTTTAGGTAAGGAACTATCTTATGACTTAGCACATAAATCTGTCTTTATCTGTATATGTAGAAGGTTTATACACAACACGAAGAAGACCATGTTAGTAGCTCCCTAACAATTTCCTCTCTGTTTATTATGTGAGTTAAGTAGTTTCTGTGGGCACTGTGTCCATATTATATTTCCATAATAATTCATTGTTAACACTAAGGTTGCACAGTTAACCATGCTGCTCTGTATCTGTGACAGTAAAGAATGAACATGCCATCCTAACTTTTCCCTTTGTGCATACCAATAAGTATTACAATACAGTATTTACATATTAAATACTAATTCTCAACTATTCTAGAGGTTTTGGTACTCTGTAAGGTAACATAACATGATATCTAAAGATAACACAATATCTGAAGACTGCATTTTAAGGAGCAAAGTTAAAGGTTGAGTGCAGAACCTTAACTTTCATGCTTTCATACCTGTATATATGCTGTGTATTCATATGGGGCCTGATCCAATGCCCATCAAAGTCAATAGGAAACTTTCCATTAACTTTGGTGGGCTTTGGATCAGTCCCTTTCATACTCCTATGAAGCTTTAGAAATAATTAAAGCAGGAGAAACCCCCCCCCCCTTACCTTGCTCTACTATACTGCTTTCTCATGGTCCTCCCAAAAATGTATGTTTTAGTGTGGGATGTGAGGGAGCACAGACTGACTACTACCTCTTGGCTAGTTTTGAGAAAAGTCCACTTAAAGTAAAATAGCTATTTGTTTTGGATTAAATAATAAAAAGATGCCTGTACAAAGGCGTAGGTGCCCTGGCAGTTAATTTTACAATAACCCCAGCAACAATAAAACAGTTGTTCAAACAACCCTCTCCCAGCCCTTAAAAAAAAAAAAAAAAATACCTGTTTTCCCTCCTTTTAGGGAAATAGCCTCAATCTTCTCTAAAAGTCTTCTTAATTAAATAATATCTTTTGCAGTAGTGGCTCCTGGCTCATTTGCTTGTGCAATGCATTTCTCAAGACTCCTGACTACTGTTCATTTTTATAGCACTTGAAGATGTCTTAGGGAATTTCAAAAATGATGTACTAACTTTGTTCAGTTGTTATGGTTCATCTTCACAACAAGCAAAGTTATTCATCCTCGGTAATGACTAACTGCATTAGTATTCAGAATTTCTGCCATTTTTGCTGTGGCTCTGTCCCGAAAGTGGGAGAAGTTTGTGTGGTGGTTTTGTTTTGTTTTGTTTTTGTTTGTTTGTTTGTTTGTTTTTTTGAGTGGGGAGGAAATATGATGTTGTGGTTTGGATTTTTTTCCATTTAACACAAAAATTCTGAAAATCTTCTACTGAGACATTAAAATAAATCTGAGTTTAGGTATTGAAACTTATTTCCAAACAGGAATTTTTAAAGAAATAATGAGCATATGAAATGGAAAGTAATTCCTGTATCCTCAGTATATAGTAGGTGCTACTGCTGCAGTTGATAGCATATGTAATAGAAGCTAAAAGATAAGTTATACTTCTCTTCAAGCAATGTTTCCAGTGAGACTAAGACAAATATTTCCCCTTTACTTGTCTTTTGTGAGACCCATCAATAGCCAGAAATAATTTGGACAGGAGCAATTCCCAGTTATTTGATCTGTCTGTCTGTTAGCTTTGTAGAGACCTGTTTGGCTTTTTCCACGTATTCTGATTGAATTAGTCTATGATAGCAGAGCAGGTTTAATACCCAGAGCTGATGTGTATGCTATTGTAACTAATTTAATAAACTGTTTATGGAATGGAGAAGCTGCTCTTACGGTTTCTAGATTAGTTTTTCCCATGTTTGCCAGAAACTAAGTCCTTTGCACCTGTACCACAAGTTGATGTAAAGTCAGCAGGAAATCTTCTATTAGGTTAGTGTTGAAATTCAAGACGTACCATTGTGGACTGTCCAGCTTTCCATACATATTGCAAAACAACAGGCTGTCCAGCTGTCTGGTAGTTATTTGCAGTTAATTATCTAAAGTCATGCATCACTTATGGCACACACTACTTACAGTCTGTTTTACGTTTTTTTCTTTTAAAAGTGAACAAGAGCATCCTTCATGTTTAAAGTTAACTATCCTCAAAGTTTGACCAGGACCTCTTACCTATGGGTGGGTTCATCAGAATTAACAGTTTTTTGGACTCCTGGCCTCTGCTCTGCTGTGGGATAAGCACAATGTGGTAACTACTTGTACTGGGAAATGGGAGTATGGAGCCACCGCTGCTGGCCCTGGGGCTGGCCACACTGCTGGACTCATTCAGTTGTCTCCATTTCACACAGAAAAAGTTATTTCCAGAACCTGGAGGATTAGAAATTTAATTCCCATTTTAAATGAGAGTTTAAATGATGCAGGGCTGCCTGCAAAGTGCTGATACTTACCACCACTGCATAATGGCTCAGGCCAGACTCCCTCAGGAGATAGAGACAAAACTATCCCTTCCATGCTCGCTATTTCCTGGGAGACAAATTAAAACCATCTCAGTGATGTTAGTCATGGGGAACAGTGCAGGCAGTGCTACGAATCGATGCGTTCACAAAATAACAATATTAAATTGCATTTATGACAACATTTCCGTAGAATGTGGGCAGCATGGCTACACAGGCCCTTGAGGCACTAGAAAAAGCCAGTCAAATGTTTGCGCGCGCGTGTGTGTGCGCGCGCACACACACACACACACACACGTTAGGTTCCAGAGTCCTCCTAATGAAACAAAGCCAGACTTCTGAGAACTTCCTTCCTACCACATATGGGCAAATGCCTCACATCTTGCGACTTTCAGAATCCCCTTAGCAGAAGAGGAGAATAAATGAATAACTTCCAACAGTGGATCAAGGTGTGAGTGGGGTTAGGAGATGAATCCTGTGCAAGTGGTCAAGAGTCCTCATGGCTAACCAGTGATGGATTCTCCACCACTGACACTTTTTAAATCAAAATTGGATGTTTATCTAAAAGACATGCTCTAGGAATTATTTTGGGGAAGTTCTATGGTCTGTGTTATATAAGAAGTCAGACTGGGTGATCACAATGGTCCCTTTTGGCTTTGGAATCTAGGAATAAACTGATCTCCAAATTTGTGGATGGGAAAGAGTTTCCCTGGGGCACATTGGCAGGAACGTGGCAATATTGTCACCTTTTGAAGCACAGAGTTGGGATTGCATGTTAGGCTCCCATGCTTTTATCCTATAGCACTGCAGAACACTGGCTGGCTTTGTTCCATCCTGTCTGTCTTTTCTATATTCTCTGCTTTTTCATATGTCTCGGGAGCCTGCTGTATTTTAAATACCAAAACAGTTGTTCATCTCTAGAAAACAACAATATTAGTTCACCAGTATTGTTAACTGCTGAGTCACGAACTAGCCTATTCCAGACTGTTGATTAGCCTTTACCCGGTGTTGGGGAAGGTTGGCCTCCATAGCAATGACTGGAACTCTGGAGATGGGAGTTCAGTTCCTGGCTCAGCCACAGACGCAGTGTGTGCTTAGATCAGTCACTTTCTCTTTCTGGCCTCAGTTCCCCATCTGTAAAATGGGGATGATAATCCTTTTTTCCATTCTTTGTCTTTTCTGTTTGAGTCTGTTCTGCAGCATGGGTTGTCTTTTACTATGTGGGTATACGATGGGGCTTCCAGGGATTGTTGTAACATAAATAACAATACGAAAGCTTGATAGAACTTTCATTTATAGTTGGAGCTACAAATGAGTATCCTAACTAGTATGAGTGTCTTAACTTCTGTTTAGCTCAGACACTCAGGTTACCTTTCCTAGACCTGAAGAAGAGCTTTGTGAAGCTCAAGCTTGCCCCTTCCACCTACAGTAGTTGGTCCAATAAAAGATATTACCTCATCCATCTTGCCTCTCTTCTAAACATCTGTAAAATGGGTTATTAGTCCAACTCATGCTCTCTCTCAAAATCTAATTAAAATAACCCTTATTTGTGTGGTAATAGTCCAGGTTCCTCCACTCTGAGGAGAGGAGGTGAAAAACTGAAAGATCATGCTGCATAGTGGGAGTAGAGACGGGAGAGAGTGCCACCTTCACACATTTGGGAACTCTTAGAATTCCCCTGCCGCTGCTTTGGAGTGGCCAGGCTTTGTGGAATTTTTGGGGTGGAGCCAGGTGCAGGAAGGTTTGGAGTTAGACCATTTACTCTCTTCAGTATTCTCCCGTGTTTACCATGGAAATATTCATATGGATAGTTCACCTGGAATTAATGCTGTTTGAAGCAGCATTAATTCCTGTGAGTTCTCTTCCTGGCTGCTGTGATGAAGTCACATGGGATTCTGGTAACAGCAGCACAGCTCCATTTGAAACTGTAGTGCCTTA